AAGGGAAAGGAAAAATTATGAGAAAAGGAAAAAATGGAAACAAAGTCTTTGTAAATAGGGAAGGGTGGAGGGGGTGAAGGGAGAACAGGGAATGGGGAAAAAAATAAGAACCAGGATACATCATGTACAGGTACAAGCACCCAATGATAAATGTAAATGTATTGTATACCTAAAATGTACCAATAAAAGAATTTAAGGAAAAAAAATAAAGATAGATAAAACAAACAGTATGAAAGTCAGTATTAACTAGAGGAGGGTGAAATTATGAGCACAACACAGGAGGAGCATCAAATCCAAACCTTGAACAGAGAAAAGTTTCTCACAGAAATGTCAGGCATATTGAGTGCTCAAGTTAACTAAGCAGTTTAGCCGGCAAAGAAGGCCATTAAAAATGTCTAATCATAAAACTTTTAAATTTTATCACACAGTGCTCTACAGGAAAAAAAGACAGAGCAGAATCAATGCTTAGAGACTGCCAGGCAATAGAAAGTCCTTTACACACACTGAATAACTGATCTTCACAATAACAGGGCAAGTGTGGTATTATTAAGCTCATTTTATTGAAGAGAAAACAAGGGCTTAGGGAGGCTAAGCAAATCTCTTCCAGTCTTGGGACCAGAAAGTAGCATGACCTGGATTCACAGCCAGTCTTCCTTCCATTACTTCAAGGATCATTAAATTGGAAAATCAAACTCAAACAAAACTCTGTATCATTCTTTCCAGCCAGCAAGTGTAGACTTTGGGAAGTTCATCTACAAAGCGCACATGGGTTTTAAACAGATATCACTGATGACAGTGTGCTTGAATGTGCCCTGAGTATCCCAGGGAGGTGCTGAACTTGAAGTTGTAATTTCCATATTTTGAGCAGTAGTTGTAGAGCAGTACTCTTTATGTGCTTTGTAGCATGTGTTTCTTTCTCAGTATTATTATTCACACTTTTTCCAATTAACAAAAGTAAGCACAGAGTGTTCTTGTGCTTCTTTGAAAGGTCCTGTGCTAGAACCCACGTATGTAACTAGCCTTATATGGAAGAACTGGTTCCTTCTCTATCAGTCGTAACCTAAATAGAAAAACATACTTAGTAATGTAGGTCAAATAACTCATTTTCTGATACACAAATAGAGTGAGAGTGAGAAGGCTGTGTGTGTTGATTTCATAATCAAAATATGTTTTCTAGTAGCCTGACACAATTTGGGGCTGTATCATGGTCCAGATGCTGCTCCTCAGAGGTACTCTATGTCTTTTAACTCTGTAAGAGAGTTAAGTTTTGAGGAGCTATGTAGCTTTTTAGTCATACCTAAGATAGGGGTCTGCATGTACCAAAGGCACTTTATGGATTATAGTCAATATATTTGATTTTGGAATGGAGACTCCTTTGCAAAGTTTAAATATTTTTCAAGATGAATTCAGCCACAGTAAATTTCTGAACTTTTAATAACAAAGCAAAGAGGAACACACTACATAAAATCTTGCAAAAAGCAGCATAAAAGGAAAAGTTCTTTTCAAGGCTTTTACTCAAACAAGCAAATTGGTGTAAATGTTCCCCATGACATCCTAGTCACTCATTTAGATAGGCGTGAGAATGAAGGGAAGGAAAGCCCAGTGAGGAGAGAGAGATAACTGGGGTTGTAAAGCTTAGCTTGGGTGGACAGAAATGGCTCTTTGAGAAATGGAAATTTAAACAGAGGTCTGAATGTCATAAAAAGAAAGTTATGTGGAGATCTAGGTAAAGATCTAGGTAAACTCTGAGCGGAAAGATTAGGCAGAGTAAGGGTCTCGAAGCAGAAATAAGAAACAGTTTAAGGAACCCTAAGAAAGCCAATGTGGTACAAGAAGTGAAAGAGAATCTTAGGTAAGGGGAGAGCATAGGTGGAGAGAATAAATAAGGTAGAAGGAAGCAGATCATGCAGAGGGCCCTGAATATCACAGTACAGGGTTTAGATTTTACTTTCAAATGTGATGGAAAGCCACTGGAGAGTTTTGAGCAGGAATATGGTTTTCATAGACTGAGGTATGAAAAACTAACTTCGGAGCTGCAAGAGTGGACCTAAGGAGGTCAGTCTGAAAGCCAGGGCAACTGATCAAGAGGTAATAACAGACAAAGGCAGGGGCAAAAGCAGGTGAAGTGGCAAAAATGACACTATTCAAGACATGAGGACAGACGAGCTGAATGGACTTGCTGAGGTGTGAAACTTGGATTTTTGAATTGAGTAACTGAGTAAACTGTAGCATTGTTGACTGAACCGGGGCAGGGTGGTGGTGGTGGAAAATAACAAGTTTGGGAAGAAAACTCAAGAGTTTAGTTTTGGACATGTTAAGTCTGAGTTACCTATTCGATACCCAAAAGGAGGTACTGTACTAAATGGACAAATCATTCAGGGGAAACATGATGCTGGGGGTAAAAATTAGGAGACACCAACACAGAGGTGGTATACAAAACTCCAGGAACCAAGGAGACCCCATGGACCGGCCAGGGAATGAGCGTATTAAAAAGCAGAGAGGGCAGGTGGGCACTGAGTGCTGCAGCCTCCACACTGGGAAAAGGAGCAGGAGCCAGCCAAGGAGACTGAGCATGCTGCTGGCAGTGCAGAAGGAAGCCTAGGAGAAAACAATATCATAGGAGCAAGAAAATGCTTTAATACAGAGAGAAGGAAGGCCTCCCTATGCCAAAGCTGCAGAAGTGCGGAATAAGAGTATCAATTTGCTATGGAAGATAATTCTTAGAGCAGAGATAATCTAAAATGAGAGGCTCTGCAGTTATTTGTGTGGGAAAATGTTTTACATAAAAGCATTGTTCTACAAATATTAATTGAACCACCATACAGTAAGGTCTAATCTTTAATCTGAAAAATCTGTCCCAATTACATAACACTAGTTTTTGTGTCAGCTAGAGCCTTATCACATGAATAAAACAGCCCAAACACCAGCCAGGAGCTTCCTTGAAAGTCTATCTACAGGTTGGAGAGAATTCTTTCAACTCCGAAGAACCTCATCCACTGCTGAGTTCTGTTGGGGCAAAATGGGAAAACAGTGGGATCCCCTACTTTCACAAGTGGGCTGATGTCCCCTCTGTCAAAACACCCTATTACTGCTAAGTCCATGCCCTTACTATAACCCAAATTTTATATCCAAGTAAATGCTTCCATGTTCCAAGTTTAAACTGGGGTACTACTTGCCTTTCATGGCTTCTCTGCAGACACGTGATAATGCCAGCGACTTCTGTATAGAGTCTTTCCTTAATGAATAATTGGAGCCATTTTAAATCAAGGCTGATGTTACCACCCGATATGCCCTACATCAATTTATGCCTACTTGGCTGGTATATATTTTTAAAAAAACATGCTCAGGGAATGTAAATCAATAATAGTCTAAGTAAAACATCATTAGGGTAGAAAAAGAATGCAATAAAATAATGTTAAAATCCTGCTAATTAAATTATCCATCACTCAGACCCCCTCCAGCCATGACAATAATCTGTAAAGCTATCACACAGATGATTAGATTATTTAACATGGCTCTAAATGATGAGCGCAAGGCGCATAGTAGGCACTCAATAAACAGCTGATTTATTTCAGAATGAAGATATGCTTTTGGGATTCAACTTATAATTATTTTTCAGAAAAGACCTGACCAGTACCATTGGGAAAAATGACTCAATATATACTGATTTACTCCATCAGGCTTTTTTAATCCTTTAGCAACCTAAACTTATGCAATTTGATTTTCTTGTCATTGCTTTCCCTATATTATCCAAAATGATGCTTTCTTTACTATTTCAAACTCATCATAAAATTGCTAAAAATCTAAAATTCAATTTGCCACATTACTGCTAATTTGAATAATGGCTGAATAAAACACAGGAAACGCTGAAGCAGCATTGATTTCTAAAACATTTTGCACTTTCCTCCTCCATCCCTGTAAAGTAAAGCTCGGATGCTACGCGCAATTACACAAGAAAATCAAGAAAGCCATTACATTCAGCATTTTGTCATGATCATTGTTACCATGGCAAAAAGTAGGCTTAGTTTAGCACAGCTGCTATGGGCAAGGTCCGCTGGCCTTTGTAAAGCTGAGTAACAATATAATGCTGAATTCCAGGCCTGTCACTGCCCTCCCCCACCCCCATGCCGGAACGAAGTCTTCGTCCACAGATGCTGCTGTCTCCTTCCTTAATGTTCTGGGCCAATGTCATATTGCTGCTCTATTTGACCTAGGGATTCAGTTAATCTAGGAACCTTACCACTTGACCCACCTCCTGTTCTAAGAGGGAAAAATACATGGTGTGAAAACCTAGGAGTACGATAATAGAAAAAGTTGAAGTTTCAACAGTTGTACTGCAGATGACAACAATATTGAGCTGGAAAGAACAAAGGTGTGGGAGTGAGCCTGAGAAATGCAGGCCCACGGTAAATAGCTGAATCCTACATTATTTTCTCTCCCTGGGTATCAGTTTAGTTACCTATAAAATGGGGATAAAACTAAGTTCCTTGTGAGGATTAACTGAAATAATCTCAGGTCTGGGTGCCCTTACCCTTTTCGTAATGGCTGAGAGAGGGAGCCTTATCTCTTTGGGAATTTTTCTATTGATGTAAGCTGAATCATTATCATCTTTCAAATTATACGGATATTTTCCTCAGTTGAGATAATTGTTTTTATGGTCTGATAGTAAACATAAATTTCACATCAAAAGGATGAAAATTCAGTGTTTATAATATCCATCAAATCTTGTTACCCATATTTAAGAGCACCAATATTATCAATGTAAAATATGAGGGTGCATACTAACTTTGACCTTATACACAGATTTTTACTTTTAAAAAATGAAGCAACATTATGGAAGCAGAGAAGTTTAAATTATCTGAAATTAATACATTAATCAAGACTCTATATTTACTACAAAAAAAGGCTACTAGCATTTTTACCAGCTAAACAAAATACTTTTTCTAATGAGATTTCAGCTGAGTATCGTTTATCTTAAGAGAAAAATAATGGGAACTTACCTATTCCAGTAGCTCCAGAACTGGTCATGCAGGTAGGCGTGGTGGCTACATTCATCACCAAATGAGGCTTTGCTTTCAATCCAGTGAATTATGTGCCCTTCTACAGCTAAGGGACAAAGCATTACTAATATACAATGAAAAGAAGGGAAGATTGAAAATTCTGAACTCTGCACAGGCCTCTCCACGATTCACATTGATGAGCAGGGGTTTAGCCCTTACCATCAACTCTGGATGTAATTATAAAACAGAGCATGGCATATATTCATTACAACATTTATGCTACAGTCACATCCCTTTTGTTTCCATCGCATTCTTCAAAAGTCCTTTCCCTAGTTCTGAGACTTTGATTCTGTGACTTGACTAGGGACATGTTAAGCAGACCAAAGTAAGCCTATCTATTTCATAGAACTGTTATAAAAATTCACAATTTAGAGAAACAAGTTGAAAATCACAGCTGAATGTCTTTAGAAGGCATACTCATTTCTCAAATACATGTAAAACTTTTAATAATTTTTTCTTGGTACTAGGTATCAAACTTGGGACATTGCGCTTGCGAGGCAGGCTGCGGAACCACTGAGCTAAATCCCCGGCCCTGCAAAACTTTTTAAGACATAGATTTCTTAAGAATCTATTATTTTCTGGTATCTTACAATAATCTTTTCCAACTATCTCACCAATTTAGATACAATATATTAAAGAATAGTGGATATTAGATATAAAGCTAATATACTTTGGTAACATTTTTTAATATTAACATATTTTAAAAGGAATGGAAAAATCTTATCTCCTCCTCTATAAACAAATGAATAACAGAGCTTAAGAACTTACCAACTGGTACTTGTAAAATAAAATCTGGTGTTTTGTCATAACCCTTTGCACGGAGCTGATCTTCATCTACAGAAAGAACAAATACTATTAGTTGTAACAGCATTCCATTAACAAGACAGCAATATAATTGCTTTTCTTTCTCAAATATGTGTAAAAATTACTAATGCAGTCACACATATCTTTCTTACGCATTCAATGCTGTGTCAGAATAAATTAATTTTCTTAACAAACCTGAAGCAGATAAAAAATGCTTCTTTGTCCCTTTTGCATTTTTATGTCTTTATTATAAACATCATTAATTCAAGCTGTCATATGCTACCTTTTTTGTAACTGAAAATACTCAAAAAAATATACTTACGGATTGAAGAAAAAGATTTCATTGCCATGAATATCACTAATGTTATCAGCCAATATTGACAAGATAGAGGAAAGCACAAGCATTGTGACCTTTACAATTATGAAACAAATTCTTGCATTAAAGCAATAAGAAAGTTTAGTTTCAAATAAGAGAACTATTCCTACACACAAGAAAAGGACAAGGACAATGGAATCACCACAAAGAATTAATTATCCTGCTTCACTCCTATGGTTCACTACTGTTTCTAGCATTTACTAGGGTTTTAAACTAACTACGTAATTCTGAAAAGCAAACACACTTTGAAATTTTTTCCTTAGTCTGTTCGATTTCTTGATCCTCTGTAAATATCAACGATCCACTTAGAAGGAATGGAAGCAGGAAAAACGGGAAGCCTGACAAAGTTGGAATAAACTAGCAAGGTGCTTAATTAAAAAAAAAAAAAACCTCTATTTTCTAAATGCTGTCCTTGACTTCTAATGGCATTACAACGTGATTTCTGAAATGGGGAATTCTCCATTAGATTTTGGAGTGACCTGGTCATTCAATTCCAGACATGGCTTTCTGTCTTCACCCAACCTCAACTAATGGCCCAACCAAGTAACAAGGAAGGCTGTATGGTCTCTTAACACCTACTGGGCTGTTGACATTGCCATGCATCCCATTCGCCTACTTGCGTCACCTTTGATTAAAATTAATGGCCCATTCCCAGTGTTGGGTAGCTTATTTCCAATCCATTTGTCAGTCCAAGACAGTGGCTTCATGGCCAATGTGCAGAAACTCTGTTTTAGAACACTCATCTTGAAAGGTCAGCATTTTAAACATAAATAACCTTTTAATGACAAGATACATATTTAAAGTAGATAGTTAAGTTCAATTCTGATAAAATTCAGTATCATTAGACTATCTAGATTTTAAAGGATGGAGGCCAGAATTTGGAACCATCTTCTCTCTTTGAAATTTAAAACTTTTAAGTTAACCCGAGATTATGTAATACAAATTACTGTTAATTTAAAAACAAGAGAATGTGGAAACTGGATTACAGAAAATAAGACTGGAAAAATTTCTGTCATCTAACTGTACTCTGACTACAATGAGAATGTTTAATGGAAAAGGCATTGTATAAAATCAACTCCAGTGCCTTGAGCTGATGTTTTAGATAGGTGATGGATAGTCTTAAAAGCTGGGTTGACATTAAAAAAGACAGATTAATATTTTATTAAAACCATCCTAGCTTGATCAACCTTTGCAGATGTTAAAATCTGTTTCAGAAAGAAAAATGATTATGTTTCTGACAGCAGCTCAAAACAAAATTTCAAAGGTCACCAAGCAATCTAAATGCACACAATAAAAATCTCTTTAAAAGCAGATGCACACTCCTGTTTATGGCACTAAAATTACTAATACAATACCCACCTTTTAAACTGCATGACTTCCTTAACGTGAAAATTTAAAACCCAAACCCCAAAACCTGAACATAAAACATAAAATGAGGCTAGGGAATTTTTGCATCTTTTTGTGGAGAACTTGACAATATCATAGGTGTGTTGTTTTCCTATTCTCTCTTTCTCTCTCTCTCTCTCTCCTCTCTTCTCCTCTCCTCTCCTTCCTTCAATTCTGCTATTTCATTCAACATTAAGTTCATCCAAAAGTAACTGTACTCAAAAAAAACAGCATCTAGAAGTCTGTGTCATCACCAGTGAAATTAGACTTCTAGTTTTATAAGAAGAGGTTATACCAAACACCTGAAATGTTCCTTTATTTACTCAACTCTCTCTGCCTTACCTCCCGTTTCAACCTCTACATTGCTTTGTTTGTCCTACATTTCCTAAGAAAAAAGGAGGGGGAAACTTGGCAAAGGTCAGAGGAAAAAGCGGTACATGGATAGGAAACACCACTTATGATCAGCTGGCCTTCTTCACCTTCTAGGTCCCAGGAGATGCTCCTATTATTGATTACCCCTTTGGGAGGCTCTGAAGGTTAGCTCCACCCATCTGGCCTGATTTCTTGCCCTTAGCATTATGCTTCTTTCTTGGCCCCCAGATACTGAAAGATTTCTTTATCCAAAATATTGTGTATAGGCTTAAATTTTTGTTGACATATCAGGGTTCTAACTTCAGGATCTTGAGGTTATGTCACCAGCCCATATTACTTCCCTCCTACCTCATTCTTTCTGGGCTCCCTTGTATGGCTGTGCTTGGGCCTCACACTGCTGCTCTGAGGAGAGAGCAAATTTCTTCTCATTTTTAATATCCCATCTACCACAGTCTCACCAGCAGCATTAGCTACACATACATTTAATTCTCAAAAAGGACAAATGAATAAAACATGTCTAAGCGCATTTTAAAGAATATTCGTGTTGTCTACAAAGCCTATCCAGACTGGCATTACTTTTCTTTCCTGATTTAACTCCTCGTGCATAAACAAAAGCACACAGGTACCAAACTTGGCCCAAAGTTCAAAGTTTTACTTGGTAATTTCTGTTGCCATTTTTCATCTTTGGTCCCAAATGTCTGAAGCTAAGGTTCATCCCAATTGTAAAAGAAGGGACTGCATCCCTTTCTTTAAAACTGATGGGAAAATTTCCTCCTTTTTTCTTTTACTACTGTTATTACAATAACATTGGCCTTGTCCATTCCTTACAGTTTGGGTAGACTTCTCCCTCAATTGCAATTTCTGTCTGGTGCTACTTCTGGAAAGGTCTAGGGCAACTAATCTGTTCAAATTTTTATATTCTACAGACAGTTCTGTATTTTATATTTTTCTTGAGAATCATGCATTACATACAAGTTTTTACAATACTTTTCAGATACATGAACCAAGTATGGTCACTTAAGATTGGTTGAATTTCCCAAGTAGAAACTAAATGTTTGATCAGTTGAGTTTTTCAAGAAAAAAGGTCAAGACTCAGAAAAAAAAACAAAAATAGTAATAGCTGGAGGGGGCAATAATATGGACAGTTATACTGAGTATAATTCCCCCCCTCAAATCAATTTCCAAGTCCTGTAAACCTATCTTTCTCAGTGAATACAGCAGACATAAAGTAAGGCTCTTCTGGCTTATGGTGTATATTTAAGAACCCCAAGTAGTTCATAACTACTAAATTTATTAATGTCACAGTTCAAGTGTTCATTACCAACATAAATATGACAATATTATCACTTAAAGGCAGACTCGTTAGCCTCCTGATCCATGCAATGTAAAGTTTCAGATAGTGGGTACCTCATGAAAAAAGTAATTCTGAACTAGCAAAGTCTTAGAGAACACTAACTCAACATTTCAATTTTATACATAATAAAAGTGGCCGAGAGAAGTTAAGTTTCCACCAAGACCAGGATGTCTCAGGCAGGTAACCATGCAGGACAGGAGCTTATGTCATAAGTCTGGGTAGACTGTATCCCTGTCTTAATTATGGCAACTGTTTAAATTTGATCTTGTGTAATCTTTATGATGTGTAACATTTGGGTGAGTTCTCACTTCCTTCCTGTGGGATCAGCAGCTGGCATCTGTTGGTGTTATTCAGACCACATCTCCTTGAACAGGAGAGGAGCATGACAACCTCATGATTTTTAGCACTTTAGTGGTACTCTCTCCAATATAATTCTAAAAATATCAATAAAACTGTATTCACAGATAAAATTGATGTTAATTTTTAAAAATATTTTAAATTATTATTTCAAGTGTATGAAAACAACCCAAGTCTTTATTTCTAGGTTTCTAGACCTCTCTTTAGCATTAGTTTTTTATAAAGAAATCATACATGTCTAAAGAACATTGTGAAAGTTTAATTTCTCTGGCTTTTCAGTTCTCTGGCCTCTCCTACAAGAACCCAAAAGCAATTAAGTACTACTCACACAATTTTTTTTTAAATAAAGGGCTGGTTTTGAGTCAGCAAACGAAATACATCTAAAATTAGTTAACATATTTAAGATTCACAGGGAGCATGAAGACTATCAAGAAAAGTTGTTTTTTTTTTTTGGTCTTTTGTGTACTTCTGTTTTATTAAACACTTTAAATTTAAGAAATGCCATTGTTCCCAGAGAAATTGTGTAAAACTTCAATCTGCAACAACTATAAACGAAAACTAATGTTTGATGTCTTTTATTTATGAATTTGTCAAAGCTTTTCTAGAACTCTAAATTACAGTATGCTCTACGAAAAAAAATAATCTTTTTAACATTTTACTGGATTGAGGGAGGGCAAAAAGGTCATCTATGTTAATACAAATTAAAACTACAGTATATTGTATCTAGTATTCTGTTTTTCTGTTATCCAAAATACTGCCTTATTCTACACTTGAAGCTGTGACCTTTGTTCTCCGTATTTTTATGTTCCCTAACAGTAAGTTTCACAGACTTTTCTACGTAATTTAAAAAACTGAAAAGGCTTTAGTAATAGCTGTTATGATATGCAAACCCCATGAAAAAGCACAAAAGTAGATATGCATTTCATGGGGGAACTGATAACGCAGACAAATGAAATCCTTACAGAACCTAAAATTTCATTACAGCCATTAGTTTCAACCTCTTCCCCTAAAGCCTCTTATCAAAGCCACTAATAAGGACTACAACTGACTGCTCTGACCTTGTCCTTCGCTTATGTCTTTAGGGGACAATACTAGGAAAAACTGAAGTGCCCTAAAGATGGGAAACACATGGGAGGTCAAGAAGCTGGAGCAATGGAAAGAGCGGCTAGGTAAGCTAGTCTCTAC